GCCCCGCAACGCGCCGGGCACGGTCGACCACCCACGCGCGCCCAGAGAGCGCGGGGCGAGCGATGCACGCGCGACGAATGACCCTTTCGCGTCGCGCAGCGAGCGAAGCGGGCCTCGTTTCACTGCCCTTGGACCACCGATCAAGCGGGTTGAAGCGGCTTCGAAACGGAATCCAACTGACCCAGCGCGCGAAGACTCAAATCCAAGTGCAGTTCGAGAGACAAAAGGACCGACGGGAAAGACAACCCTACCGCACTGTGCGCCGCTGGACTTCGCTCGATCGAGTCGTAGAACGAATCGACGCCCACTAGTGGCTGCCCGCGCGGGATATTCACCTTCGCGGCGATATCACAGTGCAAGTCTCTCGAGCAGGCCTCGCGCAGCGCGCTGTTGTCGGCGACCGCTGCGCCCCGCGCCAGCTCCTCGTCGGAGCCCAATTTTCGCGCGAGACCTCCCCTGTCCGCGGGCCAGATGCGGCGCAGCATGGCGAGCAAGCCCACAGCGCAGTCACCGCCCGACCTTTTGCCTGGCAGGCGCCTCTCGCAGGTGAGCACCTGCCAGGGCCAAGACAGACCCTCCTCAACGACGCGGCGAAGGTCGCGCGTCTCCCGCAGAGCGGCATCGGGAAACTGGCCTGCGACTACAAACGATCAGTCGATCCCGAGGCTTGCCTCGACCTTCAACGCCCCGGCCGCGCCCGGCGCAGCCTCGACCGCGAGGGGGCCGCATGCTCACGAGTGAAAGCGCACGTGCCATCGACCTCTTGAGCCATGAGAGAAGGCGACCACCACGACTCGCGCCACCCGGAAATCTCCCCATCGACGACGTCTGTTGGACGAACAAAACACCGCCTACGACATTTACGGATATTTGTCCCCGGCGAGGAAGCGAACCTTTAAGACTGCGATGCGCGAAGCAAACGGCATCCGTCGCAGCGGTTTATTCTCGAAGCTCGCGCAGAGAGGCTTCCACTACTCTCGCTCGCACGCCCCGTTCTCTCAGGAATCAATTCCCTCTGAAATTGACGCCGCGCCAAGACCCCGCAACGCCGCCGGGAAAACCAACCGCGCGCCAATACCCGCGGGGGCGACTGCAACGACGCCGTCGGGGGCGTCGTCGGCTGGCTCGGCGCCGGCATCAGCCTGGCGCGCGAGCTAGGCGGCGCCCCATTCCCCCGACACATGTGCCCGGCCACCTTGCGCGCCGCAGCGCGGGCGCTGGCCCGCCACGCTGCCGCGCCGTCACGAGGGGGCTGCGCCCGCGCAAGAGCAACCCGATGCACTGGAATCGCAGACAGCCGTAACCCGCGAACACGGGGCCGTCGAGGGACAAACGTCGCGGCGCAGAAACGTGGCCCGCTCGACCTCGGATATCCAGGCAGCGCATTCGCCGCTGATAGGCAACGCACGAGTCCGCCCTGCAAGGGAAGCCAGCGACTGGAGGACGAGGGGGGCGCCCTCAAGAGAGCGAGAGCCAACCGATTTGAGCCGCAATGGCGGGCAAAGTAGAAGCAGGAACGGGGTGGGGAGAACAACGGCACCACCGGCGGGCGGAGCGGGATCGCGACCAGCCCCAATGGGGCCCGACCCTACAGGACGACCGCCAGCACGGGCCCCACACTCCACACTGACTGCAACAGTGGGCGGGGCATGACTGCCCCTGCTATTCTGAACAACCGAGGAGGCCCCGAATGCGCCCCATCTGCCGGTCGAAAGTACGACTACGAGGCACATGGGTCCTCTTCCTCAGGCCCCTCCTCAAAATGCATAGCGGCAAATCATCGCGCTGCTCTTCGCCGCGGGCAGCCGCGAACGCACCGGGGGCGCCACTCGCCCTGGGCGACGGGCCTTCGCCGCCCCCCCCCCCCCCCCTACCACATCGCCCTCACGGGAATGAGCGCGAAGATCTCTGAACAAATCTCGCCACGCCAAGCGGTTGCTCTCGCGCCCCTGTTCGCGCTGGAGACGCTACCGCCGACGCCCGCGCCCGGATGCGAGCCCGGCCGCTTGCCCCGCGCAGGGTCTAGCAACGCGAGGCAGACGATGAAATTATTCCATGAACAGCTGTTGGCCCGACCCCACGAATGCGGGAGCTCTAGCCCGCATTGCGATCTTCCTGACACGCGCGACGAGGATTCCGCGCTCTCGACGCATGGGAGACAGCACGAGCTCAGGATCGCATAGTCCACACGCGGATTCCCCGAGCCCTCCGAGCACGCGAATTCAACGGGCGAACGCAGACGCCCCCCCCCCCCCCCTCCCATCACTTGAAGCAAGCTGATTTAACAATGGGGGTGCAAGTCGACGTTGAAATCGGCAGCGACGCACCGCGGCCGCTGAAAGCTCCGCGCGAAATCCCCCGAGACGCGCGCAGCGCCGCAGGTTCTCCCGAGCGAACCCAATCCCCGAGAGGCAGTTGAAAGTGTTGGCGACGAAGGACAAGCCGCGATACTAAACTATGACGGGGATGAGCCCGTCGACGGACGGCGCACGCGTCGGCAGTTGCGCGCCATGACGAGCGCGCCACCTCGCAGGCTCGCAGGCCCTCTCTCTGGCGGCCACAGTAGCACCGCACCCCGTGGCCCTGGCACCATTGTCCAAGAAACACCACCGCAGCTGTTCACCTTTCTTGGCCCAGTCGTTGCGAATGGAGCCCGCCCCCTGGACATGTGTTTTAACCAATCCCAAAGATTGCTAGCGACTCGAAGAATCCCTGCTGGAAAATAGCCCCAACCTTTCGGCCCAAGACAAGAAACGCCTGCGAAGAACACGCGGCGCACGACCTCGTTGTCGGCGCAGGCCGGCGAAGGAGAAAGCGTCGTCGTGTTAGAGAGGACTGGACCTCCGGGGCCCGTGAGCGGCTAACCTGGGGCGCCCACCGAAGACGCTGCAGCGACCTTGGCGGCCCCTGAGCCACGCGCCACGGCGGCGCTCGCCGCCGCGCCGCCGCCCCGGGCCACAGCCGCGGCCTGCGCGGCATCGGCGGCCGCGCGAGCCTGCCGACTGCGCTCGACTTCGCGATCGACATCTGCCTCTGGCGGCTCCGCTGCTGCAGGTGTTTCACTCTCTGACTGCGCCGCCGACAACAACCGCTGCAGCCTCCGATGGAGCACCCGCGCGCCGCTTCTTCGCCATCCTCTCCTCGATGACGCGCTGGATTTCGAGGGCCTTCGCTTTCCATTCCTGGATTTCGGAGGCCTTCCTCGCGAAATTCGGTTTGGCATCCTGCGGTCTGGTCTCCAACTTGCGCAAGGTATCATTCTCCTCGGTGAAGCATTCCATTCCCTCCGAGCCCTTCAAAATCGGGAAGAAGCTGGTGTCCCACTCGGGATTGATGAGAGCGTCGGGTGACTTCCCCTCGGAGCCACCACTGCCTCTGAACGCCCGAGAGCACTCTTCTTTCACAAGAGATGCCTGCTTCCTGCGCGAGAGCTCGGGCGGCGATCTGCCTGCTGATCCCCGCTGAAGCGGAAGCCCTGATGGCGTCGGCCTCCTTCGACCTCCCGGTCTCCAAAATGAATTGTCAACGAGAGACAGGAGAAGCTGCTTGCTCATAACTGGTGAATGCGTCTTTCTGGGCCTTTTTTATGCCCGCCACACATCCTCGGCGGCTGACAAACTCGGGGCTTTCGGCGCTGGAGCCGCCACCACCTGCTGAACATGCACCGTGGGGAGGACATGCTCCAACGATTGGTCGGCTGACAGGGCCATGGCCTGCTCCAGCAGGCTCTGCACCATCGGGGGGCTACCACCTCCGGCCACACCGTTCACCAGATTGTTTCGCCTGCTGCCGGTGCCACTGCGCGGTAACTCGGCCTTGTCCAACTGGACCTGGCGACTGCATTTGCGCCACTTGTCATGCAACTTTTGGAACACGTCATTATACCCGCAAGTACCGTATTTGCAGGTGGACCAGGGACGACACCCGTCGAGCTGCTCTGCTCTGAACCTTTCTTCGCCAGCTGGACTAACCGCGCAATGGAGCTCGCGCGGGGAGCCAGCTGCCCCTCAAGCGCTGGAGTGGAAGTGAGCGGACTTAAATCGTGGCCTCAACACAATGATGCGCTCGAGCCATTATGTGGTTGAGGGTTTCGGAGGCAGGAGACTAGGAGGGGTGTGGGGGAGGCATCGCGGGGCGAGCGGGGGGGGGGAAACAATGAACGAGGACGGGGTTCACGAGGGGGAAGGAGGGGGCAGAGGAGGGGGGGAGGATAAGAAGGAGGATGACCAACATAAACCCAAGACGAATCTACGATGTTGCAATAAACCGTCCCTCAAAGTTCCCTCTCAGTAGGTCCCTGCACAAACTGGCGATCATTGTGGGAAATGCCCCGTTGAAAGCAAAAGGTCTGACAACCATCCATCGTGTCAGAATACCGTTTTGGAACTTCAACACCACGAACCGACGTGACTGCTGCGCCCTGACAATCCGAAACCACGCCAGAACATGACTCATGGGACTTCAATCCAACGAATCTTTGAAATTGCCACAGACTGTTAAGGCCAATGCGCACGGCGCTAGGGCGAGAACCACTTATGAAAAAGGAAGCGCCCTCGCGAGCCACAGTTTGAAAATCTGCCGCCCTCCATCCTTGAAGATGGTACATTTGGTAAAGTCGAATGTGCGCGGCTCTAAAGCGAGAGCCAGAACTTGAAAACCCGCTCTCCATCTGTGGAGCTGTTGCGAACTTCATGCTTCAGGAACAGAGATGGTGAGGAAATCTTAGGCTAAACGCCTTGCCCGCCCTACCAGCACGTCTGGAGGTACGTCAGGGAGGAGTCGTTTATAGGGAAATGGATGGAGGAAGACAGGAGGGAGATAGAAGGAGAAGGGCCAGGAGAGGAGAGGGGAGAAAGAGAGGGAGAGAGGAGGTCGGAGAAGAGAGAAGAGGGATGAGGGAGGGAGGCCGGCAGAAGGGGAGGTGGGGAGGACGACGGCGACGGCGACGACGCTGACGCCAAGATGAGGGGCTGGAGCACGGGAGCAGGGGATACGTGCACGTTTTGCCCTCCATGACGGCGTTGATGATCGCCACAGACATGATCCCCTGGAGCACCCCGTACACGAACCTTGCCCTCCATCTCCTCCTCCTCCTCCTCCTCCTCCTCCTCCTTCAAGCACGCCCTCTCCTACACCTCCATGTCTTCCTTGTCATCCCTCCAAAATTCGCTCGCTCGTCCTACAGAACGCACCCCGCTCCCATCATGATCCTAATCCACCGCTGCCATCTCCCATCCCAACCGACGTCGACGACGACGACGACGGCGACGACCCCCAACGACGATGACAACGAATACCACCAGCACCGACGACGACGAAGACCAACACCACCAATGAGAACGACCCATTGGAGGTGACGACGATGACAACGAAGACCACAGTCAGCGTAGACGAGAACAACCACCACCACCGACGACGACAACGACCTCCCGGGACGACGACCACCGTAGCCACCATCGACAACCAGCGACGACGGCCGATAAACTGCGACGACGCCATCATCCTCCCCCTCCTCGCCATCATCCTCCTCATTCTCCCCCTTGCCCCCCTTCTCCTCCTCCTCCTCATCCTCCTCTTTACCCCCCTCCTCCTCCTCCTCCTCCTCCGACGACGACGACGACGACGATGACGACGACGGCGACGACAACGACGACGACGGCGGCGTCGACGACGACCACGATGACGGCGCAGTCGAGGGCGCCGGTGGGCCGACCAGATGACGCCGCAGACAGTCATGGCGGTGTACGGGAGCATGGGCAGCATGCCGACGTCCCGCTCGCGGCGGATCCTTGGGCATGCGGGCCACCACCACGTCCTCCCCACCCGCCTCCCCGAATTTACACTCTTCCTCCTCCTCCTCCTCCTCCTCCTCCTCTTCCTCCTGGACCTCCTGATCGCCATTGCATCCCAGTTACGACAGATCATCCATCTCGAATACAATGGCATGACTGCCCAGCGTGGCGAGGAGTCGCCCGGTATAGATTTCTCCCCGTTGTGAACCCGTTCGTGGAGAGATTCGGAGCTGCCTGCCTGGAAAATGGCCAGCAAAGCATCCCGCGTGTGAGCTACACGGGGGGATTCGATCCTGAAGTGACCAACTAACGATAACTGTCCCCATGAAAACCCCGGCAGGCGCTCCCGCCAGGCCACGGCCGAAGGAAAGGTCGTGCCAGGAATCGTAGGGGGGGGGAAGACGGGGCCGCTCAGGTAGTCTGTGCCGAGGAGTGGTCGCACTCTGGCTTGTCAGGTGGGGTGGGGGGCTTACAGGTTCTTTAAACGAGAAACCAACCCTGAGACCCCAGGACGTCCACGGTGAGGGAACGTCACGCCGTCACGCTCTCCATAACAAAACCATCGAAATCCAAGAAGCCCAGGGCACTCTGGAAGCAAGCAGGGTGTTTCTTGGCACGGGTCTCCACTGTACCGGTTCTTTGAATGGCCCTATCTCTCCGACGCCCAGACACCCGACAACACGAGCCCCACGCGGAAATCAGGGTGGGTCTGCTGGCTGGGGTGGATCTTCAAGCATCCATTCGGACTGCTGGCACCTCCCACTGGCTGTGATACCATTGGCACAGGGGCAGGTGGCACGGGCACGAGCTGACCACTGCTGCTATTGCCGCCGCTGACCACCTCGGGCAGCGATTGGCGCAATGGTGGGTGCGGCCACTGGCACTGTTCCCGTAGCCACCGAGCGGCTCGGATCGTCCGCGCCCGCTTCGGGCATCAGGTGCACGCGGAGAATCGTCCTTCGAGCAGGGGCCAGTGTGGGGCTGATGCTTAACAGTTGTCGGAACGCTGCTGCACTGCGCTCGCGCCGAGGTTGTAGATCAACATTTGTACACTAGAACCATCACGCGCGCTTCGCGCGCGCTCAAGTTCTAACTAGGGTCATGATCATCGTCATCATTGTCATCCTCATCCCCATCATCTTCATCGTCATGGTCATGGTCACCTTCACCATCACCATCACAACAATCATCACTACCACCATATCATCCGCATCGTGATCACCATCACCATCATCGTCATCGTACTTTTCAGCATCATCCGCATCATCAACATCTCGCTGGTCGTCGTCCCTCAATGGAAATGAACCGTTGTAGGGGCGTATGAAGAGGGAGCTTGGAGGGAGGGTAAATTTCAACATCGCTGATGACTCTTGGGTTTACACTGGTCCACCTCCTCCTCCTCCTCCTCCTCCTCCTCCTCCTCCTCCGCCTCCGCCTCCGCCTCCGCCTCCTCCTCCTCCTCCTCCTCCTCCTCTTCCTCCTCCTCCTCCTCCTTCTCCTCCTCCTCCTCTTCATCCTCCTCCTCCTCCTCCTCATCCTCCTGCTGGATGGTCGTTGGGATCTCGCGGAAGGTCGTCGGGAGGCCGTTTCAACGCCTCGTAGGGGCCGTTTTGAAGCCTCGTGGGGTCCTCTTTGGGGCCGCTTGGGGCCCGCTCGGAGCCTCTTGGGGTCCTCTTGGGGGCTCCCGGGGGCCTCTTGGGGCCGAGGGCCCGACAAATACGTGTTGGCACCCCGTCGGGGCACCCCGTGAGAGCCGCTTGAGGGCCACGTGGGCCGTCTTGGAGGTCTCTTGGGCCCCCCTGGGGCCGTCCTGGGCCCCCCTGGGCCGTCTTGGGGCGGGCGTGTGGGCCTCCTGAGCCGTCTTGGGGCGATCTGAAGGGCCTCCAGGGCCGTCTTGGAGCGCATGGGGGCCGAAAAGGCGAGAACCCCAGAAACCTTCAGGCACAATCAAGAAATCAATGATGTTTGCCCCTTTGGGCTGTCGCGGGAAGCCTCTTTTGGTCTCTCGAGGCGACTCGGAGGTCCTCGGGCCGTCTTGAAGGTCTCTTGGGCCGTCTTCGAGGCATGTCGGGTGAAATTGGAGCCCTCTTGGAACCCCCTGGAGCCGTCTTGGAAGCCATCTTGTACCGTTTTGGGTTCTCTTGAGGCCCCTGGCGGCCTCTTGGGAGGAAACTTTGGCTATTAAATCCTGGGGGTCGCCTTGCCATCCCCCTCACATTCCTCCTAGTTACATTTCTTCCGATTAATGGATCGCACGCTACGCGCGCTTCCCGTCATCGGGGATGGGTCCTGCCACAATCCCCTCACTTTTCCCCTTGTTATTTCTCCCCATTAACGGATCGCCACGCTACACGCGCTTTCCGTCATCTGGGCCTCGCGAGGTGAACCCCGTCACGCTCCCCCTTGTTAACTTTCTCCCGGTTAACGGATCGCGACGCTGCGCACGCTTTCCGTCATCTGGGACGGGTCCTGCCAACCCCCTCACACTCCCCCGTCATTTATCCGAACTAACGGATCGCGGCCCTACGCGCGATTGCGTCATCCGCCGCCATCTGTTGATTTATCACAGGGGTGCCCGGCGTGCTGAATGTCTGGTGGTTTGTGGTTCTTGCGGAGCTCCCCCTAGGGCGTCGATCCATTGCGCCGGCCAATCAGAATGCCGCGTGAGCCGCCGAAAAATGTGCCCGATCGCTTCCAAGATTGCTCAAGATGGCCAAGAGTCCAAGATGATCCAAGATTGCGTTCAAGACGGCCCACGAGGGTCCAACATGCCTCCAAGTCCACCCGAAGAAGCCGCCAAGACGGCCTAAGATGGGCCAAAAATGGCCTAAGATGGGCGAGGAAGCTCCCCAAGAGGATTCCAGGGCGGCCCGAAAGGCCCCCCAAGAAAGCTTCCAGCAAAGCTCGAAGAGGCACAAACCATTGACTTCCGTAGGTTTTTGAACGATTTGGGCATGTGTTTCTTTGCGGCCTTCCGACGGCCCGAGACGGCCCAAGAGCCCCCGACCTCCCAGGAGCCTACGAAAGTGGCGACAGTCACGCAGCTCGCAGCTGCCCTGGGAGCAGCGACACCTCAAATCGGCGCGCGTGGCCTCCGACACCGCCGAACTTCCCAGGAGCCCACGAAAGTGGTTACAATTGTGCAGGTCGCAACCTCCCGGGGGGCAGCGAGGTCCCACGTGGATCCACGTGGCCCTCGACTCCGCGGGACCTCTCAGGAGCCCACGAAAACGGCTACAGTTGCGCACTTCGCAGCCACACGGAGGCTGCGAGGTCTCGGGTAGTCCCCTACTCCGCCGTGCCTCCCAGGAGCCCACGGGAGCGGCAACAGTTGCGCAGTTCGCGAACTCCCCCCCAGGGAGCTGCGAGGTCGAGTATGGGTAAGTTTCCTCCCCTACTCCGCTGGACCTCCCAGGAGCCCACGAAAGTGGCAACAAATGCACAGTTCGCAGCCTACCATGGAACAGCGCGGGAGGAGGCAGAACGAACATGGCGACAGTTGCGCAGTTCGCAGCCCCACCAGGGAGCTGCGAGGTCTAGTCTGGGTCCGTTTACTCCCTTACTCCACTGTGCCTCCCAGGAGCCCACGGGAGCGGCGACAGTTGCGCTGTTCGCAGCCACACAGGAAGCTGCGAGGTCGAGTCTGGGTCCGTTTACTCCCGTGTTCCGCCGCGCCTCCCGGGAGGCCACGGGAGCGGCGACAGTTGCGCAGTTCGCACCCCACCAGGGAGCAGCGCAAAAGGAGGCAGGAGGAGGGGGGATGACGAGTAGGTGTGTGACCACAGTGCTCAGTGCAAAAGGGGAAACCAACAAACAGGGGGGTTGGGGAAAAACTGCAATGCCAAAAAAACTGCAACGCAACAACTGTCTTCGTGCTCTGCTCGCCATCATGTGCGCTTCAACTTCCCTGAACCTCCCCAAACCATGCTCGGCTCGCACGCGGGATCCTAAGCCCGAGCTCAAGCAACCCCACTTCAACGCAACAAAAAACTGCAATGCAAACAACAACTGCAATGCAAACAACGCCGACAATTCCGGAAAGGCCGAAACCGTACAAAAAGCGACGTCGTCGTCGCTGTCGTCCTCGTCATCGTCCTCGACATCTTCGTCGTCGACGTAGTCGTCACCGTCGTCATCGTCCCGCGACTGGCGTCGCCGCAGCCGGGGCTGAGACAGAAAGCGCTGTTGCGTCAAGTCCGACTGCGGCGGAAAGGCAACCGTATCAGCTCTTGTGAAACAGCGCATGGTAAGGCGCTGCCGCACAAGAGCTTTTCGCCTCGAGCGACCTGAAACAACGCTTGGCTCCCACGTCGAATTGTAAGCTCACGCTCGAGCAGCGCCACTACAGCGCATCAAGAACTGCAATTCAGAAGAAACTGCAAAGCAAAACAACTTGCAATGCAAACAAACCACGATGTCGTGTGGTCGCCAACATGTGCGCTTCAACTCTCCATGAACCTCCCCCAACCACGTTTGGCTCTCACGCGGAATCCTAAGCTCAAGCTTGAGCAGCGCCACTACAGCGCAAAGGACATGCAACGCAAAAAAACTGCAATGAAAAACAACTGCATTGTGCACAAAAACTACTTTCGTGTGGTCATCGCCAGAGTGTGCGCGTCAGCCCTCCTGAAAACTCCCTAAACCACGCTCGACTCTCACGCGGAATCCGAAGCTCAAGCTCAAGCAGCGTCACTACAGCGCAAAAAAACTGCAATCCAACGAACACGGCAATGCAACGCAAGACGATCTTCGTGTGGTCGTCGTCAGCATGTGCGCTTCACCCCTCCTCGAAACTCCCCATACCACGAAGGCTCCCACACGGAGTCCTGAACACAAGCTCGAACAACGCCACTACAGAGAGAAAGCGAAACTGCAATGCAAAAATAAGGCACTACAGAAAAAGAACGAACTGACATTCAAACAGAAATGAAATGCTTCAAACCTGTTGTCGTGTGGTGGTCCCTGACTAGCGCTTAAACCCTTCCTGACTTTCCCCAAACTACGCTTGGCTATCAAGCGGAATCCTCAACTCAAGCTCGAGCAGCGCCACCACAACGCAAACAAAAACTGCTACGCAAACGACACTAGATTACAAACAACCACTTCAATGAAAACAACCAACTATTCTCGTGTGGTGGTCGCCAGCATGTGCGTTTCAACCCTCCCTGAGCCTCGCCGAACCACGCTTAACTCCCGAGCGAAATCATCGAGCAGTGCCACTACAAGCCCAACAAAATGCACTACAACCTCTGCAATTAAAAAACGTCTGCAACGCACAACAACAGTTTTCGTGTGGTGGTCGCCAATATGTGCGCTTCAACCCTCCCTGAACCTCCCCAAACCACGCTTGGCTCTCACGCGGAATCCTAAGCTGAAGCTCAAGCAGCCCAGGTGAAGCTTTAGTCTCAAACTGTAAGCTTGCTATGCTGAAGCTTGGCGTCCCGCCGTGCACTACCACGGTTAAGAACTTTGTAACCATCCGATCAGCTCATCATCGTCACCATCACCGCCACCACCACCACCACCACGATGATCGTCACCACCACCATCATCATCATCACCACCATCATCACCACCATCATCTCACCACCACCACCATCATCAGCAGCATCACCATCATCCCTCCTCCTCCCCGACCCAAACCAATACCCACGCTGCACTCTTCCACCTGCTGATCATCAGCTTCATCCTCATTCCAGTCATCCTCCTCGACAGCATCATCACTATATCCATGATCATCCTCATAACCATCATCCCTCGTCATATTCCTCCCTCTTCCACCTCGGTCACACCACCTCCCCCTCTTCATTATTCTGCGTCCCAAATCCTCGGAACCACCTCCAACATTGGATTGATGATCATGGCCAGGGCGCTCAGACCTATCGCAGGCTAAGGGCGGACGGGAGGAGGAGAATAACGGTACAGAGGAGTAGGAGAAGAAGGCAAAGGAAGAGGAGGTCGACGAGGAGGAGAACAGGGAGAGGAGGGGGAGGAGGGGAGGAAGAGCATAACAACATGGGAGAAGGACGAGGTGGATATAGATGAGGGATGAAGCCAGAAGAGAAGGGGGTACGAGGGAGGGGGGCATTCTTCTCATCATCTTTCTCGCCATCCATCCCCCCCATCCTGCTCCTGGATGATTATCCTACTCCAACTCATAACTCTCCTGTTCCTCCTCCTCCTCCTCCTCCTCCTCCTACTCGTCCTCCTCCTCCTGATCCTCCTCTGAATCAGAATAATTAGCATCAACCTCATCATCGTACTTTGTATATGTCTCGCGGTCTATATGTACAGTTACCGATATAGCAGTCTCTCTGTCTCTCGCTGTCTCTCTGTCTTTTGTTTCTCTCTCTCTCTCTCTCTCCCTCTCTCTATGTATGCAAAATATCTCTATATCTATATATATGTATAGATAAAGTGGAGGTGGGAGAGAGAGAGAGAGAGAGAAAAAAAAAAAAAAAAGAGAGAAAGAGAGCGAGAGAGAGAGAGAGAGAACAACAACATTACCCTGTGACGTACCCAACCCTTTCTCAGGCGATTATACTCAGGACCACTCAATGCTGATTGGCATTCTGAAGGACCCGCAGTGCGCAAGAAGAGCACCCAGCAATGATTTCAGAAGAGCGCAGCAAGAAGAGGAACCGGACATATACAAGATGGAAACACAGGGACGCTGAAAGAAACGCGTATGACGTACCTCCGAGTGATCCACGTGGGACCCACCTCCGCTGGGCCTCCCAGGAGCCCACGAAAGTGGCGACAATTGCGCAGATCGCAAGCCCCCCAGGGCGCCGCGAGGTCCCGAGGTGATCCGCGTGGGACCCACCTCCGCTGGGCCTCCCAGGAGCCAACGAAAGTGGCGACAGCTGCGCAGATCGAAAGCCCCCAAAAGGGGGGCGAGGTCCCGAGGTGATCCGCGTTGGACGTACCTCCGCTGGGCCTCCCAGAAGCCCACGAAAGTGGCGACAACTGCGCAGATCGCAAGCCCCCAGGGGGCGCCGAGGTCCCGAGGTGATCCGCGTGGGACCCACCTCCGCTGGGCCTCCCAGGAGCCCACAAAAAAAGGCGACAGTTGCGCAGATCGCAAGCCCCCCCGGGCGACGCGAGGTCCCGAGGTGATCCGCGTGGGACCCACCTCCGCTGGGCCCCCCAGGGGCCCACGAAAGTGGCGACAATTGCGCAGATCGCAAGCCCCCCAGGGCGCCGCGAGGTCCCGAGGTGATCCGCGTGGAACCCACCTCCGCTGGGCTTCCCAGGAGCCCACAAAAGTGGCGACAGCTGCGCAGATCGCAGCCCCCCCGGGCGACGCGAGGTCCCGAGGTGATCCGCGTGGGACCCACCTCCGCTGGGCCCCCCAGGAGCCCACGAAAGTGGCGACAATTGCGCAGATCGCAAGCCCCCCAAGGCGCCGCGAGGCTCCGAGGTGATCCGCGTTGGACGTACCTCCGCTAGGCCTCCCAGGAGCCCACGAAAGTGGCGACAACTGCGCAGATCGCAAGCCCCCCAAGGCGCCGCGAGGTCCCGAGGTGATCCGCGTTTGACGTACCTTCGCTGGGCCTCCCAAGAACCCACGAAAATGGCGACAATTGCGCTGATCGCAGCCCCCGAAGGCGCCGCGAGGTCCCGAGGTGATCCGCGTTGGGCTTACCTCCGCTGGGCCTCCCAGGAGCCAACGAAAATGGCGACAGCTGCGCAAATCGCAGGCCCCCCAGGGCGCCGCGAGGTCCCAAGGTGATCCGCGTTGGGCGTACCTCCGCTGGGCCTCCCAGGAGCCCACGAAAGTGGCGACAACTGCGCAGATCGCAGCCCCCCCAGGGCGCCGCGAGGTCCCGAGGTGATCCGCGTTGGACCCACCTCCGCTGGGCCTCCCAGGAGCCCACGAAAGTGGCGACAATTGCGCTGATCGCAGCCCCCCAGGGGGCGGCGAGGTCCCGAGGCGACCCGCGTTGGGCGCACCTCCGCCGGGCCTCCCAGGAGCCCACAAAAATGGGGACAATTGCGCAGATCGCAGCCCCCCGGGCGCCGCGAGGTCCCGAGGTGATCCGCGTTGGGCGTACCTCCGCTGGGCCGCCCAGGAGCCCACGAAAGTGGCGACAGTTGCGCAGATCGCAACCCCCCAGGGCGCCGCGAGGTCCCAAGGTGATCCGCGTTGGGCGTACCTCCGCTGCGCCTCCCAGGAGCCCACGAAAGTGGCGACAGCTGCGCAGATCGCAGCCAAGGCGCCGCGAGGTCCCGAGGTGATCCGCGTTGGGCGTACCTCCGTTGGGCCTCCCAGGAGCCCACGAAAGTGGCGACAGCTGCGCAGATCGCAGCCCCCCAGGGCGCCGCGAGGTCCCGAGGTGATCCGCGTTGGACCCACCTCCGCTGGGCCTCCCAGGAGCCAACGAAAGTGGCAACAATTGCGCAGATCGAAAGCCCCCCAGGGCGGCGCGAGGTCCCGAGGTGATCCGCGTGGGGCGTACCTCCGCTGGGCCTCCCAGGAGCCCACGAAAGTGGCGACAGTTGCGCAGATCGCAGCCCGACGGCATGAGAGAAGAGGAGAGGGGAACACAGGAAACAGGAGAGGAGGAGGGGGGAGGAGAAGGAGGAGGCCGGGGCGACCACACTGCTCTATTCAAAACGAGGACCCAACCATAGGAGGGTTGGGGGAAAAAGCGACAGAGCGACGACAGAGCGCCATGTCTACACCTATTCGGTGTGCAAGTATGTGCATATAAATATGTGTATATATATATAAATATATATATATATATATATATACTAGAACTGCGCGCGAGCTTCGCGCGCGCTTAGGATCAAGTCTCGGCTGCGCCGAATTTTACAGGTCGCGCTGTCGCTCGACTGATCGGCGGCATTGCGAAGTCCACTGCGTGTGGACGTTGCAGAATCTCCATCAACCTCGCCCCCCTCACCCTCTCCGTCCATCGTCATGGTCCTTCTCCAAAGTCTCCTCCTCCGCCTCCTCCTCGTCCTCCTCCTCCTCCTCCCCGTGCTCCTGCTCCAGCTCCTGCGCTCCATCCTCAATCCCTCCTCCTCGTTACTCCTGTGTCACTCCTCTCCGTCCTCCTCCTCCTCCTCCTCCTCCTCTTCCTCGTGCTTTTCCTCCGCCTTATCAGCCTTTTCCTTCTGTCCCATGTCCTGCTCATCCTCCTCCACCTCTCCTCCGTTTACAGCTACTCCACACACACACACACACACGCGCAGCAAAGAGCCTGAAGCGCCGAACTGGAGCTACTGCTGCTACTGCAACTGCACACCGCTCAAGGCACAACGGGCGGGAAAGAGGGAGGGAGGAAGGGAGAGACAGAGAGAGAGAGAGAGATCGAGAGGGAGAGAGGAGAAAATGGCCCAACCCAATGTTTTCCTTCCTTTTCCTCCTCCATCTTCTCCTCCAACCGGATGCTCCCGGACAGGTTTCCAGGAACACATGGGCAGCTGTGCTCCACCGCCATGGCAGGGACCTGTTCCAAATGGGGCTCCACCGACGGCCCCAGAGAAAAGCTTCGCATGGCGTCTTCACGCTCATGTCGACACACGCCTCACACGGATCGCGCCCCACAGAAAGCTCCACCGACGGCTCCAACAGGAGGGGTCGCGTGGCGTCCCTCCGCATAGTTGGGCACACCCCTGACGCGGATCAGTCCCCGCAAGGATCTCCGTCGATGCCACACATGGGCAAGATCGCATGGATCCCCCACGCACATGTCGGCGCCGCTACACGCGGATCGCACTCCACGAGGAGCTCCACCGATGGCCTCAGTGGACGCGCTCGCGCGGCGGCCACCCCCTTCACGCGGATCGCGCCCCACAGGGAGCTACGCGCGCTAGCTCCGCAGGGACCCTCTACCCAGTCTACCCCGCGTCGGGCGGTATTTGAAGAGAGAGCCGCGCCCTGCGCTACACGGAGCTGCATAGGGGCGGGTCCTTTGCCAGGCCAAGTAATATCTCTTTTCGTTTATATGTACACATACATGGACATAGGCGTACAATCGTGCATGCATACACCGATGCGTACCTACATACATACATACATACACACACATAGGAACAAGACCTGCGCCGATCAGGCGGCATCCCAGAAACTGGCCCAGGTTGTGGACCAAAGGCCTCTCGTAGATGTAGATCAAGGTTTCTCAGGAAGTCTCTCAGAGGCCCGTTTGGGGCCTCTGGGGGGTCTCTTGGAGGTTTCCTGGGGGCTTCACGGGGCCTCTTAGAAGCTTTTGGGTGCCCCTTTGGGGCCTCCCGGGGCCTTTTGGGGGCCTCTTGGAGCGTCCTGGTGCCGCTCGGGGCCAAGGCTCGCAATTTGAAGCTGGTTTTCCCCCTTCTGGGACCCCTTTTGGAAGCTATTGGGCCATCCTCGGGATCTCCTGGGCCGTCTCGGGCCCTTCTTGGTTGGGCCGTCCTGGAGGTCTCTCGGGGGTTCCCTGGGCCGTTTCGGGGGACTCTTGGGCAGTCGTGGACAACGCGAACACCCAATAGGCGACGACACTAAAAAGTCCACGTTTTCCTGAGGAAATTTGATGTTGTGTCTTGGGGTCCTCTTGGCGGGCCTCTTGGGGGCCTTTTGGTGTCTCTTGGGGCGGCTTGGGGCTGTCGCGCTATCATCTGGGACCGTCTTGGAGCTCTCGCGGGCCGCTATTGAGAGCCTCGAAGGCCAATCGCAAGCTATCTTGGGTGGTTTGGGAACGTTATCTGGTTTTCTGGGACCTCCCAGGGTCGTTTGGGGAGGCTCCCGGGGACAGGGGGCACCGAAATACAAGCGGGACTTGCCCAGGGCCTCGGGCCGATGATCTCCTTTTTCAATATATAGATGTATACATGCCTATAAATAAGTGCGTATGCATGTACATGGTTGGTCTATGTTTGTGACTGTATATATGTATATATATATATATATGTGCATACACATATATATGTATGCATATGTATATATAGACACACCATTCGAAACATCAAAATGTCCTATGTTCCGAAGCCAGACTCGCGGTGCACATCTCTGGGATCCTAGACGGTGCTCGCCTGAATCGGCGTATTTTGGGCACCGCGCAGCATATGATTATGAGCTGTACGGCACTCGGAGGCGGCGCACACATAACCCAGCTCACCGTGGGGGGCGTCCTCGTCCCCGAGCTTTCCCCTTGGGCCTTCGGCTTCGCCCTCGTCCCCGAGCGGCGAGGACGGCGGTGCGCTCGCCTGGGGAAGGGCGAGGAGGGTGACGAGGCGACATCGAGGCAGGCGAGGTGGGGTCCCAGCTTCCTTCCGAGTCTTTCTCGGATAGGAAGTGCTGGCGGCGTCAGTCTCAGAAATCGATGTCGCGACCCTCGTCACCGTAGACAATATGGTACAAGGTGTGGCCGCAGGAGCTGCGCTCGTCGTCGTAGGTGGAGTACTGGTCGGTGGGCTGACCGTCGAAGTGGGGGGACCGGCCGACGTCGCAGCCCGCGTCACCTTGGGAGCAGAAGAGCAGGTCGGAGTCGAGGGTCGAACCGAAGTCGCTGCAAGCGTGGCCGTAGGTCGAGGAGCACATGTCGGCGAAGGGGCAATCGGCGTCGAGGACTTGAGCTGCGCCACCAGCTGCATCTGTCCACACTGGCCTGGTGTTTTCCATCAGCAGATGTCGCCTTCAAGCGCCGCATCGACTGGCCGTCTAGCTCGATATCGAAAGATTGCGCAGCCCCCACTGCAGCGTTCGGTGCCGCCACTGTCGGGTTTAGCTGTCCTCCATCAGGGCACCCACGTACAAGGGCGACTCGTCCTCTACGGAGCCCGCGGGGGCTAGGCCGGCACGCGCTGTTTTCTGGGCGTTGTGGGTCACGTTCATGATCGCCTGGTGAGCCCGCATGCCCCTGCAGTTGAACCTGATCATGATCTGGCCGCTCTTGTACCTGCTGTCGAGCTGGTGCGTGTCCATTTGGTCCATGAGATGAATCGCCTGATGTATGTCGCCCTTGCTTTTCACACCGATGTCCAGCGTCCCCAAAACCTACATCTTAGCCGTCGCTGCGCATGGTGCTAGGGGGGCCCTTCCGTGTTCTTCTCCTTCTCCGAATGTGAACCTCGCGTAAGTCATGATTCCTGTTCTTCTCGATCGCGTCGGTCAACGGGTCCGCGTCGTCAACTTTCACTGTCGTGATGATGCCTCCGTTGAGCTCGCGGACGATGAGGCGGAGGTCCTTTATGTCCTGCGTCATCTCTGGAGTTGCCTCGGCCTTGAAGGCGGCCCCCCGTCTGCGCCTCCGCGGTCTGTCTGGCCCGCTGCCTCGCTGTCCACCATTCCCAGACGCTGTCGAGGATGCCCCGGGGGGGGGGGGCGCCCCGGGGTCGTGCCGTGGAGCCGGCGGTCCGTCGGGCACTGCTCGTCTCTGGCGTCGGCGCAGTTGCAGCGGACGGCTCGCTGGGAGGGGGCAGCGACAGCGCGTGAGTCCCGAGTGCGTCTTGTGGCAGATGGCTACGGAGGTGCAAGCGCAGCGCGCTGCGATCCTCGCGCGACTGAAGGCATGCCGGACATGTTAAGGTCTTTGGCGACGTGTCGGGGTATGGTGCCCATGTCTGGCCCGCGCGGCATGCGCGGTGCTGCGCGCCGATTCGCGTCGGGAACGTAGTGCCACACATGACGCACTCGCTCGCGATCGTGATTTGCGAAAGAAGGCAGCACATCCCATATGTTCCCCTCCTGACGTTAGTCCCCGATGGCGTGCGCACAGTGGTCTTGCGCCGTTCCATGCTTTGGACGCCCGAAATGGGCACGGAAAACATGGGTACAATGCCCAACAGCAAATGTTGTCCCAAACCAACCGCGGCCGCTGTTGGGCAGGCGGCCTTCTGTCCCAAATGGACACAGGCCGCGACGGAGCGGACAGCGAGTCCTGTTCAAGATGAACAGGAACTGCTGTTGGGCATTGTCCCCATTCTTTCCGTACCCATTTCGTTCGTGCAGACCATCATGCGGTCGCGCAGGAGAGGCCCTCGCACGCTTTCAGCACGCAGACGAGCCGTTCCGCTTCTCATCGGGCGGGGCGAACTCCGACGGGAGCTCGGCTCGAGCGCCTGGCGGCGCCAAGGCGCGCCGCAGGTGAGCAGCCCTCGTCGCGCCGGCGCTGCCGGACCACAGCCTGGAATACAAAACGTTTTAGTCGGCGAGGAGCACGACTGAACCAAAAGTGGCGGCACTGACTCCAGTCCGCGTCGGCGGCGCTGCGTCGAGCGCCCCCTTTCGCCCCCGCAGGCTTCTTTCGCGTCACGCCGTGCCACCAACGTGCTTCGCGGAGATAGCTTTCCGCACTGGATCCGGCGCATCTGGGGCAGTCTTGGGGCCCTCTTGGACCGTCTTGGGGGCCTCTTGGGAGGCTCTAGGGGCCTTGGGTCTGTCTTGGGGTCCTCTTGGGCCGCCGTGGAGCGTTTTGGGTTCCTGGGGGCTCTCTGAAGCCTCTGCGGGCTTTCCTGGGCGATCTTGGAGGCCCCTGGGGCCGTCTTGGGGCCATCTTGGGCGTCTGGAAGCTCTCTGGAGTAGTTTTCCCAGGCTGGAGCGCATGTGGAAGCAGTCTGGGAGCGCTCTCGTGGCCCCCTGGGCCCCCGCGGTTCCCTCATGGAGAGTCGGGGCACCTGTTTTGAGGCCGCGGGCCTGCCCCATCCCCCTCCCCCGGGATGCCAATATTTGTTGATGTTGTTCCTCTCGCTCTCTCTCTCTCTCTCTCTCTCTCTCTCTCTTTCTCTCGCTCTTTTCCGCTTTCTTGTTGTTTTGCTCTCTCTCTTTCTCTCTCTCTCTCTCTTTCTCTCGCTTTTTCTTTCGTATGATATATATTGTTGTTGTGTTTTATTTGTGTTCTCTCTCTCTCTCTCTTGCAGTTTGACGACTTTTTGGATACACATATGCACTGAGAGATGTAGATATCCCCTCGCGTTCTCTCTCGCACTCACTTTCATCATACTTTGTCGCCTCCCGAACCTCCTTCCCACACCCGGTCCTGTAGTGCTCATCATCAACATCACAAGCATCGCAAGCATCATCATCGTCATCATCAACAACACCATCAACCTCAACATCATCATCATCATCATCATCATCATCATCATCATCATCATCATCATCGTCGTCGTCGTCGTCGTCGTCATCATCATCATCAACATCAGCATCATCATCAGTATCACCATCATCAACCTCCTCATCATCAGCAGCATCATAATTATCATCAGCATAATCATCATCAGCAGCAGCATCGTCAGCATCAGCATCATCACCATCATCAGCATCATGATCTTCAGCAGCATCAAATTCCTAATCATAATCGTAATCAACAACACTGCCACCATCAGCAGCATTGACATAATGAAAACGTCGTAAACATCATAACCACAATAACGTCGTAAACATCATAACCACCATAATCATCATCAGAATCATCATCCAACTACCACCTCCTCCTTCTTCTCCTGCTCATCATCATCCTGATCCGTGTCACCGAAAACATCACCACCACAATCACTATCACCGCCACAGCCAATTCTATTACCATCATCGACAGCGCAATCGTCGCTGTCAGCTTCATCGTCGTCACAACCATCAGCCTTAATTATCATCATCAACACCATCATCGTCAGCGACATCATCATCAGCAGCATCATCATCATGATCATCATCACCCTACACTCATCTAAACGGTCGGCCTCCTACTCGCTATCATCAGCAGCCTCAGAAGCATTATCGGCATCATCAAAATCATCATTACAGTTATCATCGACCTGCTGAGTAAACTCACCATTGTCAGCAATACTCTCCTACTCATGGTCGTCCTCATCACTAGTATCACCTCCACCATACCCATGAACACCATCACAAACCATAATCCCTTCTTCTTCTTCTTCTCCGTCTCCTCCTCCTGTTCCTCAGATTCATCATCATCATCATCATCAGCAGCTACACCATCTCCATCACCATCACCATCACCGCCAGCATCATAATAACAAAACAGTATCATCATCGTCATCGTCATCATCACCAGCATCATCAGCATCATCATCAGCATACTCATCATCGCCATCATCATCATCAGCATCATCATCATCATCATCATCATCATCATCATCATCATCATAAGCAGCAGCATCAGTACCCTTACCATACATCATCAGAATCATCAGAATCATCATCACCGTCAGAATGGATAACCTTGTCATTATCAAAACCATCATACGCATCAACCATGACACACGCAATCGTCAGCCTCCTCATCATCGTCAGCATCAGCATCATCCTGATCGTCATCATCGGCATCATCATGATCATCATCAGCAGCATCATCATTCAGTATGAGTAGTAGTATGATGATGAATGTTAGCAGCAGCATTATCGTCATCACCACCATCATAATCATCAGCATTATGATCCGCATCATCATCATCGAAATCATCATCATCATCATCATCATCATCATCATCATCATCATCAACATAATCATCATCAACATCATCATCATCGTCATCATCATCACCACCGTCGCCATCACCATCACCATCACCATCACCGTCACCACCACTACCACAACCATCATCATCATAATCAGCATCGCCATCATCAGCAGCAGCATCACCATTACCATATATCATCATCATCATCATCATCACCATCATCATCACCAACATCATCATCAGCAGCAGTATCACATTCATCGGCATCATCATCATCATCATCATCATCATCATCATCATCATCATCATCATCATCATCTGCATCATCTGAACGATGTGCTCTTTAACCGAACTTTAAGGGTGGGCCCTTCCCAGATCCGTGCTTCGGTGCGGATCGTCTGCGCTTCTCGTCTCCGTCGTCATCGTTGTTGTCGTCGGCGTCTCGTGGTCGTGGTGCGTGTTGCTCTGCTCCGGACTTGCTTCCCTGATGTAGCGACCACCAACCAGCATCATGATCATGATCACCATCATCATCATCATCATCATCATCATCATCACCATCACCATCACCATCACCATCACCATCATCATCATCATCATCATCATCATCATCATCATCATCATCATCACCCGTCCCTCTCCCCCTTTTCGTCTTGCTCCTTCCCCTGGCCCCCTCCGCCCTCCGCTCAGCTCCCTCCTCCCCCACCGCTCCCGGGAGGAGGTCCTCCTCCGCATCCTCCTCCTCATCGTCCTCCAGATTTCGTGCTCCTCCTGCTCTCAGAAGGTAGAATACAGCAGGCTGCGCCGACCACGATGCACCGACGGCGGCGACGGTCACGGCGATCGCGGCGGTGGCGGCCAACGCGGCTGAGAGCTCGCGCGCATCGCGCTGGACCTGGCAGCCCCAGCCGCACGGGGCCGACGCCAACGAGGTCCTCGGCGACCCACCGCGCGGCGGCCAGCGAGTCCTCCACGGGCCGCGGCCACCGACGCCGCCGTCGTCGACGTCGCAGCCACCGCCGCAGTCGCCGGGCCGCGTCGCCATCGGCGCCGACGACGACGACGTGGCTATCGGCGGCGACGTCGAAGTCAACGTCGCCGTCGCAATCGTCGATGTCAGCGCCGTCGACGTCGGCGCCAACGCCGTCGCTTCCGCGGAGCAGGACGATGACAGCTGCGTCCTCCTCCTCCTACCTCCTTCTCGCTCCTCCCCCCACTCCGCCCTTCCGCATTCCCCCTGCCCCCTGCAACCCTTCCCCCCCTCCTCCAACGAGGAAGGAAAAGAGAAAGCACGACGACGACAGCGACGTCGACGACGACGACGACGACGACAACGACGACAACGACGACGACGACGACAACGACGACGACGGTCTGATCGGTGAGCAGCAGAGCGTGCCCGCTTTCTTGACTGCCCCAGCTCGTCTCGACGGCAGCTCCGGCTCCAGCACCGAGAGCTGGCGTGTTGCGCGCGAGACGTCGGGACGACGGGGGATGACCTGCTTGAAGGGGCCGTGGGACACGCCAAGAAACAGACACATATCCCAGGACTTCCCATTTTCTCATGTTCTCGTGGAGTTTCGCCTTCCCACAACTTCCCACATCTTCCCATCTTTTCCTACCGGGGGGGATCGGCGACTGGTTGTGCCTGTATGTGTGTGTTCTCCCCTCCGGACAGGAGGAGGAGGAGGAGGAGGAGGAGGAGGTGGTGGAGGGGCACCTCGCTCCTCCTCCTCCTCCTCCTCCTCCTCCTCCTCCTCCTCCGCCTCCGCCTCTCCTCCTCCTCCTCCTCCTCCTCCTCCTCCTCCTCCTCCTCCTCTCCTCCTCCTCCCCCCCCTCCTCCTCCTCCTCCTCCTCCTCCTCCTCCTCCTCCTCCTCCTCCTCCTCCTCCTTCCTCCGCCTCCGGGAGGGGCCGGCGGGCTCTCCTCCGGAGCCGCGCCCCCCTCCGCAGACCCCCTCGAAGCACGACGAGGTCGCGACCCCCCCTGCGGGCAGGATCCTGCAGCTCACCTGCCTTCCTCGGGGGACGTCCAAGAGGGGGGGGTGCAAATCGTGGCCCGAGGCACGTGCGCGGGCCAGGGGGGGGGGCAGGGAGCGCATGGAACTGAGACGAGGCGCCATGAAATCTGGGGAGATAGCATGGCCCCCGCCATGATTTGGCCGCGCGCACATGGGGGTGGTGGAGGGAGGGGGGAGAGCTGCTTTGAAGAAGGCTGCTTCTTAGAAGGCGCTGGCCTGACATCTACAGATAAGGCCCGCGCCTTTCCAAGAAGCAGGGGGGCATCATTCCGAGACAAGCGTGCCGCCAGAATGCAGGTGTCACGCCCATTCCGCGCGGGCTGGGTTCGGTGTCACCGAGGTCTGGGCTACGTTAGGTGGGTGGTCCACGCTAGGGGGGGGGGTGCAGCGGTGCTTGGCCAGCTCGAGCACCTTCTCAGCCTCCAGCAGCGCCTCCACGGTCTCGTCACGCTTCGACTCCGCCTCTGCGCCGGCCTCCTCCGCCTGGTCCAGCTCCCACTGGGCTTTGTAGAAGACGTCCCGATTGTGCGCGTGCTGGCCCTGTGCCGACTGCAGCTGCTGCCAGGCGGACCTGTGCGGGGGGGAGCCTCCGTCCCCGCCGCTGCCTCCCTATCCTGCGTGGCCAGCCCCGCGATCTTGGTGCCGCAGCTGGTGTTCTTGGCCAGGAACTCAAGGGCTGCATGCTCGCTGCACAGGCCGCGCCGCGCCTCCCCTGGTGTCGGTCCTCACCACGGCGGCCGCGACGCTCCCTCGGTCGCCAGATGCTTCTCGCCCTGGCGTCCCCCGCGCGCGATGACCAGCAACTCGCCGCAGCGACGCCGCCCTTGTGCTCTCTTGAGCTTGTCCGTGTGCATCCAACCCTTGCAGCCGCTGCACACCACATACTGCCAAGATTTCTGGCCGTTCCTCCCCACCGAATGGAATGTGAACGAGAGCGGTGCTGCAACGCGGCGCTGCACACTGGCGCAGTGCTCCTCACCTGGGGCGGACCAGGCGGAGAGACAGGGACTGGCCGCGGACTAGCGGTATCCGTTTGGCTCCCCAGGGAGACTTGCATCTTGAGCCAAAATGGCTACGGAGGAGGAGGAGTGACCGACGACGAAAAACGATGAGTTTGGCCGCTGAGCCAACGAGCGCGGCGCGACGCCGCTGTCTTGCCACGCCTGGGCTCAAGCCCGAGAACGGCTGAGGTCCTCGGCACCGACTCTCCCCAATGTGCTCAAGCTGCTCCACAGCATGCACTTTGCCAAGGCTCCACTACAGCCTTCCACTGCCCATCACAGGTCAGGCTTCCCTCGCAAGAGCCTCGGAATAGAACCAAAATGCTTGTGGCAGGCAAGTCTCCAGCTCTCTTGGAAGCAGTCTTGGGGGGTGTCTCGGGCCTCTCGGGAGCCTCTTGGGGCCCGATCTGGGCCGGCCTCCGGGGGTCTCCTGGGGCTTGTGGGCGGCCTCGTGGGAGCCTGCTGGCGGTCTCGAATCATCTCTTGGGGCGGCGGGCGCAAAATTCCGGTCTGAGTTCCCCATTTGGGGCCCTCTTGGGACCCTCTTGAGGCCGTCTTGGGACATCTTGGGAACCCCTTGGGCCGTCTTGGGACCCTCCTGGGCCGCCTGGGGGCACTCTGGGGGCCCTCTTGGGCCGTTTTGGGGCGACATTGGGGGCCTCTTGGGACGTCTTGGAGCGTCGAAGCCCGAAAAGGCGACGCGTTAACATCCTTCGACAACCGAAGAAGACACACATGAATTGGAACATCTTGGAGCGCCCTCACAAGGCCTCTCTTCTTTCCCATTCGCAGCGTAAGTCGCAGAGAATGAACGCAGGCCGAAAGAAAGGGGTGGTTAACTGCGTAGACAATTTCGAGCGTAGACATTACTCTAAGGACTGCGGGTTGCTGAAGCAACGCATTACCAGTGTCTGACAGCCATTGCTGTTTCGACATGGATGTGCCCCTAGGAGAGAGAAGCAGAAAAGGCCAGCAGGAACAGAACATGGATTATGTAAGGCGAGCCAGGACAGAAAGGTCCAGCCATGGAAGAGGCTTTGCTAACCTCGCCACTGCAACCGCATGACAACGTCGGGCAACTTCCAACACACGCCCAGGTGCTCGTCGGGGTCCCAGACATGTCTGAACCAGCGTACCACAGGTCACCGTTCAGAGGTTTCGCCCGAGCCTCTGCCAGCGTGGACGGGCATCCCGCAGACTGATCGGTGGTCCCGAACCACTCCCACACCAGGTTTGAGGTGCTGGAACTCCTCTGCCAGTAGTTGCAATAGATGTTCGTGGTGTCCCAGGTGCCGCCACCGTCGTCCTCCTCTGAAAACATGCCAGAAAGCCCTCCAAAAGCCCCAGGCCCACAGGTTGCGCTTAGAAGTTGTGTGTTGAAAGTGGCCGCCTCAGAGCAACTGCTGACGACGTAGGTGATCGAATTGCTGCCAATAGAACCCATTTGATCACAGTGGGGGGCTTGCTGGTCAGTCACGACTGTCCACTGTCCTACCAGCGCCTCTGCCTGAGAACTGCACGAAGCGGCTGCGGGCGCTGGAATCACATCTTCATCACAACCACATGAAAACATCGGGCAACTTCCAACACACGCCCAGGTGCTCGTCGGGGTCCCGGACATGTTTGAAGCAGCGTACCACAGGTCACCGTTCAGAGGTTTCGCCCGAGCCTCTGCCAGCGTGGACGGGCATCCCGCAGACTGATCGGTGGTCCAGAACCACTCCCACACCAGGTTGGAGGTGCTGGAAATCCTCTGTCAGTAGTTGCAATAGATGTACGTGGTGTCCCAGGTGCCGCCACCGTCGTCCTCCTCTGAGAACATGCCAGAAAGCCCTCCAGAGACTCCTGGCTCACAGGTTGCGCTGAGAAGTTGTGTGTTGAAAGTGGCCGCCTCAGAGCAATTGGTGAGGACGTAGGTGTTCGAATTGCCGCCAACAGTATAAGTCTGGCCGCAGTCTGGGTTTGACTGGCTCGTCACGACTGTCCACTGCCCTACCAGTGCTTCTGCCTGGGAACTGCAAGATGCAGCCAATGCTGGGAGTATCACATTGAATGCCGTGGATGCAGCAATCCTGAAAACAACCCGTAGCATGATGCTGACAGGGCGTTGAAGCGCGTCTGTGTTACAGTCGCACGCGCAAATAACTCAGTAAAGTGAACGTTCAAGGGGCTCAAGCGTCAGTGATTGAGCCAAAATGGTTACGGAGCGCCCTCATAGGGCCTCTTGGAGCCCTTCTGGGCCGTTTTGGGGCCGTGCTAGGCCGTCGGAAGGCCGAATTGGCGACCTCTTGGAACATCTGGAAACGTCTCAGTTTGGGGCCGTCTTGGGACCTCGCCTCTTGGGCCATGTTGGAGCGCCCCACGGTGGCCTGCGGGCGCGCCGGGGCGAGCCAGGCCGATTTCAAATTGATTGAGCACGCAGTCTTCCCGCCCGCGGTGCGCCCGGCACTTGAGTAGACTGATGACGTTGGGTTCCACATTCGCCTCCCGCATCTCGCTGAACGCGGACACTTTCTTCTGCAATTGCCCGCCTTTCCTGCGCGCGCTAACAGTCGCAACGCAGTGGTTCAGGACGATCTGACCAACAAACTGAATTCCCCCACGCGGAGCAACTGCAAAGGTGCACTCCACTGTTCTGTCCGACCGCACTGTTTCGCCGACGCTTCGGGAAAACAACGCCTGTTGGAGACCCTTGGCCGATGTCGAACATCCAGGGATATGCATCCAGAGCGACATGGCACCTCGGCTGCTCGAGCCCAGCAACAGTGTATCCAACACAACGGTAAGCAGCAGCACAAGCGTAACAATCAGTACCACTGTGACCAGGACGACGGGAACCAGCTGCACCAAGCGCAGCAGCACGAATGCCACCAGCAGCGCCAGTGTGACCAGCAGGATGGGAAGCAGCAGCACTACACGCAGCACCACTGTGACCAGCACGGCGGGAAACAGTACCACTATGTTCACCAGCCCAAGCGCAACGAGCAGTACCAATGCGACGAGCATCACTGGAGACAGCAGCCTTCCGCGAAGCAGCAGTACCAATGCGACCAGCACGAAGGGAAGATACAGCACAACACATAGCACTGCGGGCGCCATCAGCAGCACCACTGTGACCAACCCGACGGGAGACAACAGCACTACGCGCACCAGCAAAAGTGCAGCGAGGAGTACCACTGTGAGGAGCATCGCTGGAAGCAGCACCACTGTGACCAGCACGACAGAAATCAGCAGCACCGTGCGCAGCACTATCAGCGTCACCAGCAGCACCAATGTGACCAGCAAATCGATAACCAGTAGCACAACGCGAACAAATTAATCCAAGCGGCACCTTGGCACCAAACCTGCCGCGGATGGGGCCGCGATCCTGAAGCTTGCGCAGCCCACAATCTTGCGAGGCTGCGTCTTCCCCTGCGACGCGCATGGCGCTCGCAGTCAAGATGTGGCAGGCGCCCCAGCGATGGTACAGTCTATAATCAAGGCGAGAAGGGCACTCGCAATCAAGGATGCGGCTGGCGCCGAAGCACAACATTCGCAATCAAATGTTTGGCAGGCGCC